CCTCCGCCATAATTCCTCCCAGCAGGATTCAAAACAAACTGCAGCTTGTTTTTTCTACCTCTAATTAACTTGGGATTAGATGGATGGAGCTATAATATTTATCTCTGAGAAGCAAAATTGTCTGAAACTGCTTCACGAAAGGGTCCCAATGATCAATATGGTGTTCAGAGATTGTTTTGGACTTTCTAGCCTCTTAAATTGTGAATGAATCGCATCTTTTCTCCCGCCTCCATTCCAGCTCTCCTGCTGTGAGTTTTCCCTCATAAAGCCAAGCTCACTCTTAAGTAGAAGACCTCCCACTTTACCATTGTCCCTTAAGCTAAGCTTTACAGAGACGCTCTCTTTTTTGTTTAGTTTGTTGGCTGGTTTCTTCAGGGTCCTGCAATCCTTGGATTTCTGGTCCTAAAAATAAGGAAATAAGAGCTCTTTTCCTTCTCTGGAAGTGTTTGTAGCCACATGCTTGATGACTAAATGTTCTTGGCTAATAATGGCGATAATCACAAAAATATGTGTCTGAGCCGAGTGGGGCAACTGACTCACTGGGAAGGTTATGCTTGGAAAAGACTGATTGGGCCTGGGAAAAAGGTCCCTTTTCCTGTTGATATGCTGATGTGATCAGCCTGGAGAAAGTGTGATTTAAATTATGAGGGCATTCTTGTCTAAACATGCTCTCAGGGGAGTTCTCGTGTGATGTGACGTTAATGTTACCTGGATATGTCACTCTGAATGCAGTTCTTATTGTCAATAATCAATGTCGAAGACTCTGACGCAATGTTTGTTTGTTTTTTTGCTCACTTTTTTCCTGCAGAATTTTTCTTAGCCTGCTGATGCTGTATGTATGTGCGTGTTTTATGTATACTCACATTTCCATATAGAACGTTAGGACTACTTCCCCTAAATAACATGTACTATGGTAACCATAATTTGTGTAGTTTTATGGGTATTGTACCAGGCAGACTACAGTTCAGTGTTTTGGAGTTAGGATTTGTTTTTGTTTTGTTTTTTGCATATGTTTGATCAAAAGTACTGCCAAAACCGTAATATTGTAAATTTCATATTGTGAAATGTCATTACAATTTAAAGTAACTGTTAATGTAATTCATTCTTCTGGTGGCAACGCTGAATTATCAGCTGATTTGGTGCTCAAGAAACATTTATTATCAAATGTAAAAACCGTTTAATATATTTGTGGTTTTTAGGTTTCTTTGATGAACAGAAAAGGCATTTATTAAAAAAAATAAAATAAAAAGTAACTATGAATATCTTTCAGTATGACTTTTGAATAAAAGTATACATTTTTTTAAATTAAATAAAATACAGACCCCAGAGTTTTGAATAGTAGTGTATTGTGCCATAAAACTTTATATTTACCAATAATTGAACCTAATCTAACCTAAAAAGTATTTTGGACTTGGACTTTTTTACCCATTTTATTGTCTCACAAGACTCTTTATCAACAAGCTACATGATTTGAGGTATGAATAATATCTGTAGCAAAAACGATGTGGGCCAAGTTATGTGCTGAAGTTTAATACTTCAGGTTAGGGTTAGTTTTGAGCAAACATGAGTTATAATAATTATGAGGCTTTCATTGGTTGCCGTAGCAAAATTGTTTTTAAGGAGCAAAATAGCCAATGGCAACTTTGTTTCCACCCACAACAAATGCAAACTGTTTCAAGCTTCAGGTGAGAGAAACTGCCGTTCATTCACAGGTTATTCTGTATTGTTATACTTTGAGTGGTCTCTTTAATAAGAAGCTGGTAGCACCCCTCCTTTCTCTGTCCATTTGAAAGAGGCTCTTTCTGATTCGGCTTCCCCAGAGAAACAGGTGTTTTCATCAGGTGCTGTTTGCTCCGATGACGGGAGGGACTGTAATAGCATTCAGCTCTGAACAAAAGCTGCTTCAGTCAGGACTGCAGAGATCTGCGATCTCCCTGCGGGGGCTGGGCAGAGAGAGCGAAAGAGAAGAATCGGGGTGGTGTAGTTTCAGTCAGACAGTCCACAACTCCTTCCTTGGAATTCCTGATCTTATTAGATCCATTGTGTTTTTTTTTGTTTTTTGTGGAATACACACACAACCCTTTGCAAAGTCAGTTTGAGTTGTGCACCCTTTATAGTGCTTCAACTTGTGCCTTTTTAAAGGCATAGTTCACCCAAAAATAAAATGGTCACCCTCATGTGATTCCTAACCTGACTGAATTTGTTGCATGAAACACGAAAGAAGATGGATAATTCCTTACAATGAAATTCCTTACCATTTTGCCATACAATGAAAATGAATGGTGACCATGGCTGTAAAGAGCAGTAAACTATGGATGAACTGTGACTTTAAGTCTTGATTATTCCTTTTTGTTATCATCGCTATTCATTAGTGTAATGTATTAACATTTAATACTTTTATTTTTGTCTGAAAAGCCACTGATTATTAACCCTGTACCCCTCGTCTCTTGTCAGGTGGCTGAGGAGAAACCGTGAGAGAGGGCAGCACGAGGTCCCTGCTCGTCCAGGGACGATGAAGAGGTTCAAGCGTCATGGGCATGAGTCTCAAAGGGACAAACACAAACAGGATCTCTATCAGTTCAACAAGGTGATCAAGCCCACATCTTCTGTAGGATTTTTGTTTTGCTGTTACACATACACAAGACTGGTTTTGTGCTATTTTTAAAGGAGCTCTCTTGCTGACTGTTTTGATTTAAAATCACTAAATGCCAAAAAAAGTGCCATTTGTTTAATGCATTTAATGTATATGTTTGTCAACATTTCTATTACTTTCCGTGCCATTTTGATAGGACTGGACAATTTGGTAAAAACATTTAAGATTTCAGTATTACCATTGTAATATTTCACTGTAAAATAGAGTATTTAGGAAAATAGTATTAACAATTGTAAATTATAGTACAACTGGAAAATTCAAATACATATATTTATGGCTGTCTTTATTTCTTCATTTTCAAATGTTTAACCATTAAGCGTTCATATTGGCAGAAAGCAGGAAGAAATGCCTTAAAGCTTCTCTTTTGTTGACAACAGCTAGTTTATAAGTGCTTCTTGTTACAAGTTTGTGAAGGTGGTTGGTGCAAGTTGCGTTCCCAAATGCATGTTATAAGTGACCTAAACTCAGAGCAGAGTTCGTGTGGAGCAGCATTTACTAAACGGAGATGCTCAGAGAAACTGAAACACTGGATCATGAGCTGCTTGCATATAAAAGAACACGGTGTCGCGGTTCACTCTGAAACATGCAGTGCATGTATTTATTTTAATAATTAAATCCCAGCCTTTCTGATTTGATAACTGCAATAAAGCTTAATGCAATTTTGGTGTGAATTTTTGGTTAATCAATAATCATGCAGCCCTACAATTTGGATAGATTTTCTTCTCCCCGAGCTCTTTGCAATATAATATAGAATTGCCTTCCCTGTGAAGGATGCATGCAATCATGCTGCCTTATATGCCCAAATTGAGGCATCTTTAAAAGCAGCATAATTGTATATGTTCCATTTTGGAACAGACTTTGAAACCGTATGACTATGATATCTTTAAAATGTGAACGGCACATGTAATCAGTGTATACCAGAGCCATTGTATATAATGTAGCATTTCTCACTCTCATTTCTCCCCTCTCTGCTTTAGACTGTAGAACATGGCTTCCCCCATCAGCCCAGCGCTCTGGGTTTCAGCCCCAGCCTGGAGCTCCTGGCCATCGGTACCAGATCAGGAGCAATCAAACTGTATCCTTCAACAACCAGAAGACATTTCCACACTTTGGGTTATTTGATCTGTGTATAACGTAACTCTTGAGTAGAATTATCACATTCCATTCCCCTGTCTCTGAATCCTGAGGGCAGAGTGACTACAATATGATATGATGATAATGTACTGAGATTTCCTGTAGCTCATCTCGTGGTTGTTCTAGTGGCTCAATGGTACACACCCATCATTCAGGTACTTTGAAAGGCGGAACAGTTTATATTAGTGTGTAGTGCGGAGAACGTGTGTCCATATAACATTTTTTCCCATACTATTGCGTAATTTTCTCTGTTAGTCATTTACAGAAGAGGAAATAGAAATTAATAACTGGTATGTGGCTAACATTATGTGTCTGGTATTTAATAGTTATTTGCAATTCAATGTATTTTTGAAAGGTTTTATTTTTAAACTTCCCACAAAAACAAGGTGCTGTGTGAATGGTTGCCATATGTTTCCTTAACCAGTTCACAGGTATGGAGCTCCAGGTGTGGAGTTCATGGGACTTCACGATGAGAATGCGGCAGTTACACAGGTGCACTTCCTGCCAAACCAGGTACAGCTTTAAACTTCAATTCTGACATCTTTTGATTTCATCTGGATTTTTTATTTTTTTTGGCATGTTAATTTCCATTTAATTCAATCTTTGGGCTTCGGGTTTCAGTGAATTATTAGTGGTTTTGGGTGAGGTTGTTAAAAAATGTTATTACAAAAACTTACAACACAAAGCACCCTTTTAATGATATGCATAGATTAAAATTAGGGGGGTGTATCAGAAAAATATTATACAATGGAGTTTATTTTATATCACATTAGCTGTATATTTATCATTTCAACAAAAATGGTGTGTGTGTGTGTGTGTTTGTGTATATATATATATATATATATA